ACAGCAGCAACCTCAAACTCTTGGGCTAAAGTGATTCTCTTGCCTCAGCCTCCCAAGTAGCTAAAACTACAGGCAACCGCCACAACACTCAGCCATTTTATCGAGATGGGGTCTCTCTCTGGCTCAGCCTGGTTTCAAACCTGTGAGCTCAGGCAATCCACCTGCCTCGGCCTCCCAGAGTGCTAGGATTACAGGCATGAGCCTCCGCACCCGGCCCAACTAACCCTTTTATTTTCTGTATTGCTAAGTGTAAACCAGAGTCTCATGGTATAGCCAGGCTCAGCAATTTTGTGTGAACAAGTAGATACAGTTGATTCTCCTTATTAGGTAGTTATGTTCCACAAAGTTACTGTGAATGCTGAACCATTGATTAGGTCTCTGTAAGCCTATGGTCACAACATTTTTGTCAACTAACCAGTACATAATCTTGTCTTAAGTGTGTTTCTGCTTAAAGTTGCCTTATTTAATATATACTGTTGATTGGTTATTATTGGACTCACAGCCAATAGTACTCTAACTTATGCCTGAAGCAAGCTTATATAACACACAGATTTTCTACATAAGGCACGTCACAGCCTTGTGCTGAGGAAACTAATGGCACTTCAGTGGTGTGCTTGGCGAGACATTTTAAACAGCAAAATCTCTCCCCAAAACCCCAAAATGTGGGAAATGTGGCAGTAGATATTTACCAATATGAAAGCTCAAATAACGCAAAGCATTGCTGTGTTATATCTCAGCTGGAAACATGCTTAGGCAACTCATATTTTTTACTGCCTGCACGTGTCCAGAAAGACTGTGCAAGTGCCACAAGTATTGATTTGGGGTTACAAACTTTGGTAAGTAGGCACATATGCAAATGTAAGATCCAAGAATAATGAGGATTGTGTATAATCTGCAACCTTTGTACCTAAGTATGGAAAGTAGGGGCCAGTGAGAATTGCAATTTCACAAATTTGTCATTTTTTTTCTTGAGTATTGCTGTCTGATTGGTAAAGAGACTGGTGGGGGAGGGAAGGAGCTGTGTGTCATTTGCCTTTTGTAAAAAGGACTTGGTCTGAACTCCAGAACAAACCTATCAGCCAGAATATTTTCTCCTAGGCCAAATTAATGTTTATTTTGATTTATTAGGAACCTAAAAATATTATGAAAATTGATAATTTTCACCATTAACGTAAATGTAAAAAAATTATTTCTTTTTTAAGATGTATAAAAAATGTTTATCAGTGCAGCACCCATTGCTCAGTGGGTAGGGCGCCAGCCACATACACCAGGGTCAGCTAAAAACAACAATGACAGCTGCAACAACAACAACAACAAATAGCCAGGCATTGTGGTGGGTGCTTGCAGTCTCAGCTACTTGGGAGGCTGAGATGAGAGAATCACTTAAGCTCAAGAGCTGGAGGTTGCTGTGAGCTGTGACACCACGGCTCTCTACCTAGGGCAACAGCTTGAGACTATCACAAAAAAAAAATCGGAGGGGGTGCCTCATTTTTTGGCTGTTGAATTTTTTTCTTTTGAGAATAGATCCAAAGAGGGGAAAGGCTATTCTTGATCAAATATACTTCAGAGGACAGTGATACAACCTCTTCCCTCTTTAAAATCTCATTTTCTATCTGGATCCATTAGGTAAAAGAAGAGTTAGATCAGGCTAAAGAAGGGAGTCTTAAAGGACAGCTTATTATGGGCAAGGCTGTGTATCACAGGATAAACTAACTGCACATGAAGGATATTCCCAGGTAGCATAGAATGAATGCCTTCAAGGGTATTATAGTGTATTAATTTCTGTAAGAATTTGTTTTCTCTTTTTCTGTGCATTTTAGAATAATTGCATTTTGGCGATAGTCATTTAAAACTTGGCTAGTTAAGCATTTGATATAATTTCTAGTCCCAGAACTTTCTTATATAGAATAATGTATGCCTATAGCTTTAACTATAAATATGCAAAACCCCATGCAGATTCGAGAAATGATGGAGTCCTTTGAAGGTCCTCAGCCTGCGGATGTGAGGCTTATGAAAAGGAAAACAGGTGAGAGCTTGCTTAGTTCCTGCTTTTCTGGTTTTCTTACCCATTCCCACCTCAGTCCCTAAAGAACATCCTGATACCCCCAGTCTTCAAGCACATGAATTCAGAATGAAAGGTTTGCCATGGCTAAGGAATGTGACTCTTTGAAAATGATGTTAGCATCTGAGGAGCTCTTTAAAAACTGTTTTAGGGGTTTTTTTCCCTCGGTAAGTAGTGATTTATAAACTCTTTTTTTGACTGTAGTCTGTTGCATGGTTACTTTAAGCGTGGAATCAAATCAAGTGACATTTAGTACAGGCGGCTTATTCCTTGCCATGGCAAAAGTATCAAGAAGATCCCCAAGTCAAGTCACATTTATAAAGCTGCTTCCCAATTGGCTTTGTCACACAGTGTTGAAGCAGTGGGAGAGAGATTCACCTGTTATAAAGGAACTGACTAACACGAGTATCCCGTCTATATCTGAATGCTGTCTCTAGGTGTAAGCCGTGGTTTCGCCTTCGTGGAGTTTTATCACTTGCAAGATGCTACCAGCTGGATGGAAGCCAATCAGGTTGCTTCACTCACCAAGTCTAGATATTCATGAAAATGGAACAAGTCTGTACAATTTAAAAAAAAAAAGGTTGAAGGAGTGGTTTGTTCCAAAGGAGTGACTTTTTTTAAAAAAGCTTTGTATATATTAAAATTGACATTACTAGAATAAATATAGTACAAAGGACTGCACTGCAGAATTTACGCTGCCTTTAAACATGGCTTCCTACCTGACAGGGCTTTGTTAACTGTTGAATTCCTGTCTGGTATTTACCAAAATGTCTTGATGGTTCCCTTTTCCCTACCTGGTTATATCCCATATTCATTATGTCCACTGAGAGTGAGCTTAGGATATCAAACTCTCCATTTGATAGTGAAGAAAACATAACGGGATGTCTTTGGCAGGCACTTTTATAAGTAATTCCTTATTTCTGTCTGGAGACCACAAGCCTCCTGGAAGCTTAACTTCTCAAAATGGGTCTTCAGGGACTATTTAAGGACCAGGTGGAATTTATGAACATTAAGTCTGATGAGATTAGCCTGGGAGTAATGTCCTGCTGCTATTGAATCTAGTTAGAGTGGCATTAACATTCTAATCTTCCTGAAATGCCTTTTACAATCTGTTCAGAGCGAAATATTGACAGTTCCTTGATGTAGCCTTAACTGAAGTATTCTTCAGTTTGTCAAGATAATGTTGGTTGCCTGGCACTTGAATAACATTTTTTGCATGAACTCCAAAGCACAGTATTGAATGCCTTTAACCAAGTGCATTCTAGGAAGTTTGTGTGACTCATTACGTTGCTTTTCTGCAGCATTTTATGATTTGAGTCAACCATGAATAAGAGTTTCATTCTTTGATTGGCAATATTGTTGTTATAACAAGACTCACTAATGAGGGTATCACTTTGACTGATTTGTTAAGATTGTTAAGCTTCTCATTTTCTTAACCCAGGAGTCATAACCTGATCTTACGAAAGTAGAACTTCATTCATTTCATACCATAGCTATCATCCTTGTAAATCCAGAACGAATGCAAGTTTCGTGTGAGTCTGCTTTCTTGACATAACAACATCTTTCGATGCAGTGAATGTGTCTGAATAACCTTAGGAGTTTAAAACTCCTCAGAAATTAAAACTTACGAGACATTTAAATGTCTTCACAATTTTAATGTATACAAAGCTATGTTAATGTGTAATACTTCATTATGGTTCAAATTCACTCCAGAAATAAAAGGCCAATAGGATTAGGGACTCAGTGGTAGTTTAGAGTTTCCCCCAACACACATCCCTTCTAGAGGGATGATCTGTTAACATATCTCCCAGCTTCTTTATTTTTGCTTCTGTATATCACTGTGAGTGGATGGTCCTTCAGCTCTTTCCCTCTTGGCCAGACACATAGTCTTGCCTTTAGGTATTACGGAGACAAAATTCACAGCATGTCTTAACATCTTCCAGGATTTGCAAGAACCAAATTTCTCAACAGTATGTATATTTAGAGGGGTTAGACTCTTAAAATCTGGATCTCTAACCTCCTATTGAAATCTGTTCTCACAGTGTCAGGCCACCCTACCCACCCAACCCCTGCAACAAAAAAGTAGAAGATGCTCCTGTTAAATGAAGGCTCTTTGGGGGCAAGTGCTAAGTGTACTCTTGGCTAGAGTTTTGACTTTTTAAAAGTTAAGTCCCTTTGGTCACATACTTGACTCGAAGGATGATGTGGTATATGCATTTGTAAACTTTTCCTACCCCCTGAAGAAACTTCATTGGCCTCCTGGTTACTCATCTTGAAGAGAGTACCATTCATTTCAGTGAAAAACACATCTGTCACCTAGGACATTACATGGTTGCAATCGGCAGGAAAAAAATCGAATTTAGCTGTTTAGAGTTGGTGGCATTCAGAATAGTTCCTCCTGAGAAAGAATGTAACCAGATTCCCTTTCAAAATGAGTTCCCTCCCTTTTCTCCCCAAAGGACACATCCTGAAGCCAGGATTTCAGTGGGGAAGAGAAAATATAAAGACTTTTACTTTGCTTAAGGATGGGGATTGGGGAAAAACTGAAGCGAACCCCAAGGACACCATGCCAAGGGTTAAAGTAGGAGACAGTCTCAGAACTGGGAGAGTTGTGTCTTCTGCTTTTTGACATAGACTGTCATTCTCAGGCAGCCTGTCAATGCTGAATGTTAGGACTTCTGTCTCTGCTTGGAGACACGGCCTGGTGCATGTCAGCGTTTAGTGTTTGGCAGCTTTCTCAGCACTCCCTGACTCCATTTACCTTTACTCCGCATCCCATTCTCTTACTGCCTATCTGAAGGATTGGATGGGCAGAGTATAGGTGTGGCGGTGGTTGGTCCTCCCCGTATGTTGTCCATTTAATTCCAGAGCACTGATTTTTCCGAAGTGTGCTCTGCCCTGGGAAAATGGACACATGTTCCTCACAATGGGAATAACTAATTGCTTCTTTTCTTACAGAAAAAATTGGTGATTCAAGGAAAGCACATTGCAATGCATTATAGCAATCCCAGGCCTAAGTTTGAAGATTGGCTGTGTAACAAGGTAAGAATATGTTCCTCCCAAATAGACAAAACACCTTCAAGATTTTGCTGTTTTTATATTTGTGTGTTTATTTCATTATCCAAACAAGGAAACTAGTAAGTACATAATCTCCAGCCTTTGTCATAAGGTAATTTTGTGCTTTGTGTCTTATGCTGAGATTAGAGGACATAATCCTCAAAACTCTACAGATTTTGTTTATTAAGATCCAGGTTATAAATCCTGTGTTTCAATTAAGATTCTGGTGTGTTTCACTTTATTGTCTATAGAATTCTAGAGCTCTCAATTTTTGGCACTGTCTCTTAAATGTATTAGCAAAAGTCCTGGAAACTCAGCGCCTGTAGCTCACTGGCTAGGGCGCCAGCCCACATACACTGCAGCTGGTGGATTTGAATCCAGCCTAGGCCTGCCTAGTAACAATAAGAACTACAACCAGAAAAACATAGCCAGGCATTGTGGCAAGTGCCTATAGTCCCAGCTACTTGAGGCTGAGAATCACTTAAGCCTAAGAGTTGGAGGTTGCTGTGAGCTGTATTGCCACGGCACCCTACCAAGGGCAACAAATTAAGACTCTGTCTCAAAAAAAAAAAAAA